TTTTACCATGTCTATCTTTCATTAGTTAATTTTAGTTTAATAAACAATGAACCTAACATATCTTTTAAATTATGCGTACAATTGCCACTGACGTTAACAATGTGGACAAGTATTATAACAATCTTTATTTTAACTACATAGTTAATAAATAGCTAGGCTTTATTTTGATAATTTTGTCATTTGTAAATAGAACAATTCGTATTAATCCTGTGAAGATATCTTCTTCTTTTTTTTTTCTTTTTAGACATCCCTATTGATGATTTAATGAACACTTATCGACATTTATGTGATTGTCTCCTCTTTCGGTTCTGTGTCTTTTTCTTGGATCTCTCTTGATCTTAATGTTGTAGCTGATGAATTTGCTAAGGATGCTCTGTTGTTAGGTGAAATTCTTATGACCCCCACCTAGTTCGCTTAAGTTAATTTAATGAAAGTTATGTTCAGAAAACATAGCAAGATATTTTGCTATTTCAATGATTCATGATAATTTTTGGATAGGAGTGAAAAGTCTTCAACATAGAACTTCAAATTTTCCGGATTTTATTGTGTCCAAGGGTTGTGGTCCTTGTGGACCAACCACCCCTTTAATGTAAAGCCAAGTCGGAAGATTGATATAAGTGGAGATAAAAACAAAACAAAAAAAGTTTTAAGGAATTATTTCCGAGGGGAATATCCATTCTTTTTTTTGTGCAACAGGGAATATCCATTAATATGCTAAACTAATTAAATATTTGGGAGGAAATAACACTAAAACACACGTTACAACATGTGATCATGTTATCCAAGTCCAAACAATTCACATATATAGCCATGTGCGAAAAATTAACTACAGTATTTGCTAATGAATTAGGTTTTGTTAGAAAGATCTTAAACTCAAATGAAATCATTATCTCTATAATATTATTTAATATAATATTATTTAAGAAGTTGGTTTTTCTACGTGTCGTGCTCAGATTAACTTTTGCGATGCTTAATTACATTTATACTCTATGAATTAAAAATATTATATTTAAAAATTATTATTAATTTAGTTTCCTTTTTGAAATTTTCCAAATAACATATATTTAAAAAACGTTTATCATGTTTAAAAATCAAATTTAAAAACGAAATATATGTATATATATATGATTTTGTTAAAAAGAAAATTTAAAAAATAGTAATATTCCATTTTAAAAATATTTTCAATAAAATAAAATATACTTTTGAAGTAATAAAATAATTTCTTTATATCTATAACTTTTAGATGAAAATATATAGATTTGTATATAATATGATTGCATAATAAAAATTTCACAAAGATAATTTTGATATTAGGAAAAGAAATATTATTTATTTTACAATATAAATGTTTAAATATACAAATATTGTTTATTTTCAAAGTAATGATTTTTTTTATATATGTATCTAATTTCTTAGATGATTACATAAAACAATTAAGTAACATAGACTGATATATATGTTTAATTGGCTAAATAGTTTATAATTAATGTTATTGAATTATTTATTTATTTTTCATATTATAAGTTGACTATAATATTATTTTCCAAATACAATCAAATTTTTTTACTGGTTATTTTGAGAGATATTGAAAACTAAAAATATTAATTTTAACAATAAACATCTTTTGATCAAATAATTACAAATTATTTTAAAATAACATAATACTTTGACGAGGTATATATATTATATTTTCATTATTAAAATTATATGTTTATTAATATTAATTTTGCTTTTAAATTTTATGTTTTTTTATGTTTGTGGAGCTTAATATTACCATAATTAAAATACCAAACAAAATGTTAATTCTCATTTTAGATTATTTAAAACAAACTTCAGTTTACTTTTCAATAAATCTAAGACATAGAATTAGTTAGAATTTATAAAATATTTTAGTTATTGCAAAATTTGATAACTGTTCATGATCTTCAAAAAATGTATCAGTTACTTATGTAAGTAACTTTCTATTGGTTATCGTTTTATTTTATAATATATTTTAAATCAACATATAATTTGATAATATTATAAAAATACTATTTATAAATATATATTATCAACATATAATCAACATATAATTTGATAATATTATTTATAAATATAAATTATAAGATGATCCAAAACATATTGCCAAATGAAAACAAAATATTAATCAACTGTTACAATTTAGTTAGTTTGTAAAAGTTATATATATGCATGAAAATTCAGAAAAGTTTTGTTATATTAGTTTATTTAATTTTGAATTAGAGACTGTAATTTAGTTTTTATTTCATTATAAGCACAATATATCTTAAGTTAAATATAATCTCCACAAAATATATATTTACATGTCTAAGACAACAAAACAACTTAAATGAAATAGGAATATTAATAAAATTTTTTTTATATATTTATAATAAAAATATTATAGTTGAATTGAGAGAAATAAACACAATTAAATTTATTCAAATGATAATTAAATCGACTGTAAAAATGACTAGATATGACATATATAAAATCATATGTCTAAATTAAAGTATTATAATATTATTAATATAAATTATGTATAAATTATAAATTAATATAAAATTAAAGTAAATAGCAATCAATTATTATAATATATTTACTTTATAAATATTTATATCCGTGTATGAGCACGGAAAAATCACTTAATTGATTATTGATTTAGGATCTACCCACGATTAGTGGTGAACATGTGATGTACTTAATTGATTTTGATCTAATCTCTTCGCGTTAAGACTTAGGAATCTATATTTACCTTTTAGTATTTCCTTCTATTTACAGATTTTTAATCACTGAATTTTGAATAAATTCAATATTTACCACTGCATTTAAAAATAATTAATTAAAATTCCAAAAATTATCTAACCAGATTAAAATTAATATCTTGACGAAAATATTAATATGGACCGATTTTATGTATATTTTAGGTACATGATATACTTATTATATAATCTAGCTAAATTTTATAAATAATCGACATGCCCCCTTAGTTATGGCCCTGCCTTCGCCCCTGTCATACATAGAAAGAGAGTCCATTCACATGTTACATTTTTTTTTTCCTTTTTTCTGGTCTAATCTATATGGGAAAAAGTAGATCATTTTCTTCTCGTCTCTTTAGTTAATTTATCCGCTCGACCATTCCTACTTGGAGGAATATGAGAAAGCCTCATATCCTCAAAGTCCTCATGTAGTCTCTTAAGCCTCTCTATCTCTGTTGTGAAGCTTGGCCATTCCTCCGAATTAGTAGACATGTCTACTAGGTCCGCGCAGTCCGTCTCAATCCTCACCGAGTTAATCCGTAAGTCTCTGAGACTACCCAAAATAGACCTTCCATCTCTGCATGCAGAGCTGAACGGCTTCTCCTACACGCCCGTTGTCCGACCCATTCGTAGCCTATTTGATCCTTAAGACTTCATTCTAAGCCACTAATGCTGCCATGATCAAAAAGAATAAAATAATACATTGTAATTTATAGACATGCATGTCATTATCACACCAAAGCTTGTTTTATTAAATTTAAGATAAATTAAGTAACGTGTTAAACATTACATTTCAGATTCCACATGAAATTTAAAGCTTATAACAAAACACTCAAAAGAAATATATAACTAAAACTTAGCAAACTGGATACGAGAATAAGGACATCTATCTGTAGGCATTGGACAATCGATAAACTCGGTTGCTGATTTATCGACGCAAAATAAGATCTCGTGAAGTTGACTGTTTTTCTCCGGATCTTTGTTACAATTGACTACTGGGATAACCCCCGTTGCTCTTTTTATCGCCTTTTTAATGTGCTTTAGTTTATAGAATTCGTCATTTGGTTTGATACCTACAATTACCACACACATACCAAACAAAAAAGGAAAAACATATAATAAGAGTTTAAGCATGTAAATGAATACATTGTTTAGACATATTGTTACCTGCGTCTGTGAGGATTTGAAGAAGATTGATTCTGTCCCTGAGTGCAAGAGTTTTCTCAAAGTAGCCATGTTGGTCCATAACAGATTCCGAACACGTACCATGTTTTTCCCACTCGTGTTCCCAAAACTTGTAACCTTCGTTGCTCGGACAAGATAGTGTTGGCCACTTCGTTTGCAAAGTACTTACCAGATCCGATATCTATACATTCAAATATGAACTTTAATGTATATATAAAAACAAGAGTCTTTGAAGGAATATCACAATCATAGTGTACTATTAAATATACCTCAGATGGATCAAATTCATTGCTGGGATCGCAGTTTGATGGATACGAACCGTTGTTGTAATTAGGCCACAGACCGTGGATGCCAAAATCTGCTGCAGGTTTACCTGTTGTTGGATAGCAACAAGCACGCTTTGTGTCACAATAGGCCCCTGGCCACTGCATACATATATTTCAAAACAAATTATTTGGATATTCATTTCTAGTTTTGTATTAACATCAAAATTACAAAATTTAACAAGACTTCAAATATACATGTTTGTCAGGAATGAGTTAAATCCGAGTATATTTATATACCTGAAGAGCAAGGTAGAAGAAATCAAAGCCTGGATCTGGAGGAGGTGAAGTGAAAAGACCTTGAAACATTAGAAGCTTGAGCATAAACCAAACCTTTGCTACCATTTTTGTTTACTCTTGTTTTTGCAATGCATACTTGAGACATCTCGGCTTCAGATTTATAGTCAAAGATAGATACCATCTCTCTTGATACCAATATATTTTATTAGTGCCCTCGTGATTAATTAAAGAATTGAAAAAATCGATCTCTTGATCTTTCTTGAAACACTTAATATAAATCTAGGGGGAGAGGGGAGTTATCTATCTCTGACGTTTACTTTACTAGCGGAAAATAAATATAATCATTTTGATAAAATAATTAAAACGATCTAATTTTCATGAAAGTGAACATTTTAGAGTACAACTTAATTTTCTAGTATTGTTTCGCTAAAAAAATTATGAATTGTTTTTCATGTCTTTCTTTAATTATTTATTTTAGTTTTGAGAAACAATTAAACTAACATATCTTTTAAATTTTTGTTGCAATGATTTATGATATTTTTTTATCAAGTGAAAAGTTTTCATCATAGAACTTCAAATTTTCCGGATTTTAGTATATGTATGTTTTGACGAGGCATCGGAGTTTGATTTCCCTAATGCCTTATGTGTCCAAGGGTTATGGACTAACCATCACTATAATCTAAAGCCAAGTCGGAAGATTGATCTACGTCTAGAGAAAAAAAAACAAAAAAAAATATTTCCGAGAGAATATCCATTTCAGATATGCTTAACTAATTGGCAATTTGGGAAGAAAAAATTATAAACACACGTTACAACATGTGATCATGTGAACCAAGTCCAAATTATTCACACATATACATAGCCGGCTAATGTACATGCATGTGTTTAGTTATTCGCTAACGAATGCTCGTAAGAAAGAATCAGAACCTCATATTAAATCACGACTAATTGTTAATTTAGGATCTATCCACGATTAGTGGTATTGGTAAACATGTTAGGCCATTAATTAACTTTGATCTTATCTCGTCATGTTAGGACTTAGGAATATATATTAAACCCTTTAACCCGAAAACAAGCAACATGCTGAACAATGAAAATTATTGAATAATTGAGAAGGTACAAGGAACGATAGTGAGCAACCACTACTAATCCACTTCCCAATAATACGTGCTTACCGACGATACTGGTTCTTGTATATTACTTACTGGTCAATGCTCATATAGCTTAACATCGTAATTAATTTTTTCGTTTTCCCTCTTTCTCGCCAGACAAAAGGATATATTTTTTTTTTTACAGTTTTAAAAGTAACTAAATTTAAATAGTATTTTTTTGTAAAAATTTGGATATATATAAAACACATTTATACCAATAGCATAAAAGCCAAGTCGGAAGATCGATCCAAATGGAGAGAAAAACGAACTGAAAATATTGATGAGAGATATATCCATTTATAATACGCTTAATTAATCATAAAGTGACGAAACTATACTATTAAAAACGGGCGTTACAAACTTAGAACATGCGAACCAGTATATATATATTTAGCTCACCGATGCATGAAAGGGTGGGTAAGGCGACACGGCAAACAAAGTTTAGGACAATGTATCAATCGCACACTAACTACGACTTATGTTATATATATAGTTAATAATTTCCTGGCAAAATATAGAAAAGCAAACGGATATGAGTTTTTTTGTAAATATCAATTCTTTATTTTGGACAAACCTAAATCTGCCATGTCTAGCCTCGATGACCCTCTCCAACGTGGGTCCTCGTTTATTGTATGCCCATTTATGAACCTCGGTTTATTGTATAAAAATCACTACAGCCAATAGTAAGTTAATATGTGTTGGTTTCTCGATATTCTCTTATAACAATCTCTATCCAATCTTGGAATGAGAGAATAAAAATACAATCTTACATCTTGCTCAAAACTATAAATGTAGTTTCTTTGATTTATCCTTTTTGGTTTGTGAAAGCACTATGTAATTGTGTTCCTATATGCTGCTTGTTGATCTCTGATATCTTACATTCCCTCAAAACTATAGAACATACCACAATGACCAAGTATTTCATCCGTTTTGAAGATGCTGCACACGTAATAAAGTTATGGGAATCATTCCACAACTTAGGTTGATTGTTGATAAGTCTTTAAAGTAATCACCTGTTGACTTCACTGGATTTTTTTTTTTGAATTGAGGCTAACCTCACTGGAAGGTTTTGTAGAGTTTATAGCTGTATCTTTGAGTAAGGCAATTTAAACAAGCTTCGTTCCCCCCTTTATAAGCTCATACAGTGTCTCAGTCCTTGCAGCTTCAAACTCTACACGGGGGAGGAATAGTATTAGCTGAAGAAAGCAGACTTACAGCCTCACTTTCAAGCTGCTGGTAATTTCTCAAAGTGCTGGTCTGCTGCATTCACCACCATATTGCAGGAATGAAAAGGTAATTAAAGAGCCTTATTGGTGTAGCTACATATCACTGCTCAGTGTCAATTGTGTTCATCATCTCTTATGTGTGCAGCATTGTTATTTTTTTGTGTACAGAGAGTTGTGCTTATAAGCATTGTTCTGTTGGATCAACATTCACACACAATCTTGAAGAAGTTCTTTGGCTGGAGAAATTTTCTTCCACACATACAAGGTATAAAATCTTTTTGAATTTATGTTTGTGAACATCAAGATTCTACAAAAACAAAATAACGTTTCAACTAGCATTGATATGGTGTGGTGCATATGATCAATATAATGACTTTGTTGATGTAATAATAACAAATAGAATACAAAGGTCAAAAGGTGTTGAGTTAGTATTAAAGCCTACATATGTGATGTAATATTACATTACTCAAATTATATAGTACTCTTCAAATCACTACTTTCAGCTATATTACAAAGGTGGATATTTATTATTATTTATTGTTTTCAAAGGTGGATCCTCTCATGGTTCATATATCACCGACCACCACCAATCATTGCCGTCGGCATAAACTTTCACAAAACCCAAGTCAAAACCCGCAATATCATATCTCATGTTAATCCTCACTTCACTCGGTTCCGTGGCTGTCACGTTAGGGTTTTTATTTCTTCTCTATCCAACATGTTCCCAGGGTGGAACTGGAGCATAAGTTCGTACCGGTACAGCGTCGTTATCGATGCAGGGAGTTCAGAGAGCCGAGTTCATGTGTTCCGGTACTGGTTCCAGAAAACAACATGGATTGTTGAACTTGGTGGGGCTTCTGCACATGTATGATATTTTCTCTCTGTCAAATTTGAGATTAACCTCAACTAGGTGGTGAAAATGGTAATTTAATCTGTGAATTTGTTTAGGTGACATTTGTGTCAAGTGAAAATGTGCCTCCTGAGTTCTTGTGAAGATATCATATGGAAATGTTTCCTACAAAATCTACAGTCATAGCTTCCTCCACCTTTGACATGTCACTTTTTAGAGCATACCATTTGTCTTTTGAGAACTTTTCTTTGATTCATTCAGTTAAAAGTTATTTTTGAAACTCGTGTTGTATGTCTTTGTTTGCTTGCTTCTTAGTATTTATTGGATAGTATTTCCCCAAAAATTGTACAACATGCCACCAAATCTAATGTTGATGTTGAAGCTGTTAATTTTTGTCGCCTTGCAGAATGAAGCCCATGACAGGTTATGGGAATCACTCCATAACTCAGGTAATTCTTGATAAATCTTAAAAGTAAAACTCACCTTACTTAAATTGTGGGGAAGTTACTTTTAGGCAAAATCTTATTTATCTCACCTGATCTTCAAGGACGTTTTAGGTGTGAATCTTAAAAGTTAAGCATTGTTCTATTGGATCAACATTCACACCTGATCTTCTAGGACATTTTTTTGTGACATCAAATTTCTATTACATGTCTAAGGTATAATATAATCTCATAAATTTATATGTGCATGTTAATCAACGTACTCAAGATTTCTGACTAAAATTTGTGGAGACACTTTTTGACATTGGTCCATTAATGTTTATCATTTATGTATGAATAAGTTCTTTGAGTTACATGAAAAGGATTGGCTGGCTGAAATGATTCCAGCCGGAAAGAGATTCTGTAAAGAAAAATGGTCGGAGCTGAAGCAGAACACCCAACAACAAAAGAAGAGTATTTGCTTGGATATTGCTTCTCATCAGCATATATTATCTCAATGCTTCACTATAGTCTTGGTTTTGCTCTTGATGATGGAAGGTAAATGTTACTGCACAAATTCAAGAACGATCATATCAATCAGTGTTGGATTATATTTAGGTTTCGATAAATAACATAAAACTGTGTTTGATTTGTCTTGCAGAATCGAGTTTGCAAATAAAGCAGGAGAGAAAGATATACCACTAGAGTGGGCATTGGGGCCTTTATCCTCAAAACTTCCTCAGCCACTTTTGACAACAGTGGTTTATCAAGAAAAAATGCTTGGCTCGTAGCAAAATAAAATAAAAATATGATATTGATGTGCTATAAAATATCATGTTTCTAATCAAGCACGTTATTCGTGTTATGTATTTGTATTTTACGTCAAATTTGTGTTTGAGACTATTGTCATCGTTTTCTATTTAATGAAATCAAATTAGCTACTATGTTTATAAACAAAAGGAATGTCAGACTGATTCGATAGATAAATAGTTTTTACGATATTCATTTTTGGTAATATATTATATATGTGGCGGTATGTAAATAGTTTCGACATATCATGAAAACATCTACGACCCTACAATTATTTGAAATGCCAATTATTTCGACACTGTACTTTTAAAAAAGGAACTTTACTATCTTTGAACTATCAAAAAGCCTATAAGTCAAATAACCAGTATTAACATAAAAAGACCAGGACTAATTTAAGTTATTTAACCCAGGTCCACGTATCTATACTATTAAAGCTGAAGTACAAAAATAAAGTGTTTGGAAACATGAATAAGAAAATTTTAAAATTTTGATTGAAAACATGGATATCATACAAATTTAATGGACTTATTTATTATACTAAAGATTACTGCGGCCCAAGGTACCATTATTTTTTTTTTTTGGATTTTCTATCATTGATATTACTTTACTTCTAAAAATTATTTATACATATATGTATTCATGTTTTAAATGTATTTAGAATAAATCAAGAATAATATATATTTTATTTATATAATTTATATTGACTATTCTTATAAGTTTTTAACAGTGATATATTATCCTTCCAATTCTTCATTAAAAAATTAAATTAAAAATTTTACTAAATTATTTAGTGTATATAACTTTACACCAAATTTCGTAAAATGTTGTGACCCGTAAACATTTTAGTAATAGTTTATAAAGTTTTTTGACTAAATTTGGTGTAAAGTTATATACACTAAATAATTTAGTCAAATTTTTAATTTAATTTTTTAATGAAGAATTGGAAGGCTAGTATATCACTGTTAAAAACTTATAAGAATAGTCAATATAAATTATATAAATAAAATATATAT